TTTAAAAATCATTAAGCAAACTTCGAGGGAAGGAAAAGATCCCATGCAAAATTTTCTTTATGTTTCATGAGTTATTCTTTAGTTGTTTCTTGTAAAATTAGCTAAGTGGATAACTGGCACTCACCTTGTCACAAAGATTTTGAAGCTCAACCCTTGCAGCAGGGGATAATACATTTGGCCGGATGCTCAATGCCTGGCCAAGCTTAACACCAAAGAGGTCACGATCTCTCTTATCTCAGTAGCTCAAGGGACTTCATTCTAGAGGTGCTAAAGAGGTCACCATGTGCCGGAAGCTCTTAATATAATCATCAAAAAGTTTACCATGACCATGAGGACTGCATCAATGTCCCACGCACGCAAATTTCGGCTACATCCAATCTCCCAGATTTCAGCATCACTGCCCCTAGAATGTTCGAATTCTGGTCAAAACGCTACTTTAATCGATTGAACCTGCATAGAATAGCAACTTTCACCACTCGAATGGAACCTATTTCTTGAGAGCAGATGATGGGAATTCGGAAATCAAACCCGTGGCCGTTCGATGGCGACCAATTCAACTGTCGATTATAAGACTAAATTAATAGAGAGTAGAAATATGAATACCTGAAGATTTATCCAATTAAGCTGAATCGTGGGGAGGAAACTTCAAAAATTGAAGTAGAAGATGTGCATCCGGTTGTAAGGGCATCCAAGTTTCAAGTTTCTATAACTGGATGAATGAATAAGCACATTAAGAAGATTGAAAGAGTGTATTTCAACAAAAACTCTCACAGAAGGCATCAATTCGCTAACAGTATCAGTAAACTCAGGAGGGAAGAGCAAATAAACTACACAGGACAGCAAAAAAGGCATATTCTCAGAGCAGACGATTACAAGAAAAACCATATAAGTTGAAAACTCTTATAGAAGACATCAATTCGCTAAAAATATCAATAAACTCAGGAGGGAAGAGCAAATAAACTACACAGACAGCAAAAAAAAAAAAAAAAAAAAATTCTCATAGCAGACGATTACAAAAAAAAAACCATATACAAGTTCGGATTTTATTTAAGATACAGAGAGAAGGAAATAGATAGAGATTATTAATTAATATGAACATGAGAAACCCAGTTGCCCAGAAGTCAGACTACAAACCACAAAAAACCAACTGAAAAAATTGTAAACAAAAATTACACATCATAGCAGTAGTAATAATTACCTCCAGTAAATAAATTGAAACACGAAATGCCTAATGAGAGAGAAATAATAATGCGTCATAGTTTATATATTCTGACAACAAAATCAATCATATTAAACTCTCTCAAGTTCAAACGCACGAATCATCCAGTAGATATAAATTTAAATTAAGGTTCAAGTTTAATTAATGGTCGGAAAAAGAAATAAGAATTGTATACCTTAACCTTGTGCAAAACTCCTGCGAGCGAAGGGGATTCTACGTAATTCCGCTGGAATTGAATCTACACCTCGAACGCATCAAGAAAAATTGAACTTGCGGCTTAGGTTGTTCTTCCTCTACTTCCCTGTTTGGAAAAACAAATTTCAATTTCCATTGGTATCGATTTGAGATGAGATAGGAAAGAACGAAGAAGTGGCAACAAGGCAGGGCGTGGGATTAATGTTGGGGCTGGGAAAATTCTAATTCTATGAAAGAATCAAAAGAAGCAAAACCGAAGAGAAGCAGGATAAGGAAATTGGGCTCCGCCGGCATTATTGTCGGAAGAGAAGCAGCAAAAGAATTAGAAATAAACCTATGCCCCAACTTGTTTTTCCAATTAGAAAGAATTAGCAAAAATCAAAAGCGAATTCATAAAGGTAACCAATTTATTTGGGAGGGTTTTTTTTTTTTTTTAACTGTTATGAGGTCAAAAAAGATGTAATTTGGGTTTGGGGTTTTAGGAAAAATGACACAAAACGACGTCGTTTTGGGGTTCGGGGGATTTTTCTTTTACCAAATTCAGATTTTTTATTATTCATTAATTTGAAACTGAATTTATGAATTCTCTTTTTTGCCCCTAATAAGTCGCTGACGTCATATCTAGCCCATCCGACGGACAATATCGATTTAAAGGGGGTCCTTGAATATTTCTTGTGCATTATATCTTGCCTACTATGCCTTTTATTTAAGTAAGTACTAGTTTTCTTCCCGTCACGCTACACGCGACTAGTTATTATATTGAGTTCATTTGGTATTTTGTTTATAACGGCATGAAAAATACTCCTAATGTGTTTACATATTGATTCCTAACCACAAGACAGCACAAACTAAACTAACAACCAGAACATTATGGTTGCTGCAGATGTTTCAGGCTAATGCATCCATGAAAAGGTAGCAGTGTAATATCTCTATAAACATGCAAAAGAGATCTGACATGCAAACTTTAAAATTTTGAACAAGCTAATTCCCTACTATAAACCAGAAAAAAGTATACTAATCAGAGCACTATGCTTCACGAAATATTTGCACTATGTAATACCCATACCACTATAGCTAATACTTAAATTCAAGAAACAAAAGAAATGATGTTGAAGTTCATACAGAAGCATTCATCTATATCTAAGCAGAAACAAGTAATAGCCTACAAAAACACCCAAAAGTCAGTAAAGCATCTAATTTTGAAAAACTGACTTGCAGCTCAATGTGATTCACACGCTTCCGCGTTGCTAGGAAATTAGAACACCCTAAAACCTCCATTCATTGAACAATCCCATCAGAAATAGACCTCTAAAAATACATTTATAGCTGCCGGAAACTCTTTCACGGATAAGAGTTCTCAAATACTAAGAATAAAAATTAAAAAAAAGGATTGATAAAAAAGAAATTCTCATAAATCAATAACAAACAATAGCTCCACAACTGAACAACTGAAGATCTTAAAGGATACATGGACATAAAGAGAAAATGTATAGAGCTGAAAAATAAGAGGTTACCTCATTCTTCACCGGAGTGACAGCACCATGTTCTCGTCATGAAATCTTTGGAGAGATCTCACGATTTAAAACCACAGCCCAGCTTCAAGGAAGGCCTTCTATACTTCCAACAGCGCATTTCCAGTTTCTGAAAACAAAAGAAATCATACCAGATAAAACACGAGTGTTTATCATGAAAAAATCTCTAGGATTAACTTCTAATAAAAAATAAACTAAACAAAAACTGAAAAGGCAGGCATAAAAGATTTCATCAAAAGAATAAGAATAAAGGGCAACCTGCGATTATGATTTAACAACCACCAAAAACAAAAGCAACATGAAATTCAAATCTTAATCGCACACCAAATCCAACAAAATGTGTGATTAATAATAATTGCACTGGCCTAGAGAAAAAGACAAACATCAAAATACTCTCCACTCTTCAATTAGAGTTCCAATTTACAGGTTTAATCCTAAAAGTTAAAAGTATTGTATGTGTTAAAACTAAAGCGAACCAGAGTGTAATTATACAATTAAAAAGATAATCGCATGGGTACAAACCTTGTTGGTCTCGTTTTTGGCTTCAACAGAGGCGTACAAAACAGAACACCGGGATTACCAATATTGAGGAGTAAATATTAAGTGGGAAACAGAAATCTCGGCGCATATATATAACGACTTCTTCATGCTTGGTGAAGTATTTTCCCGTAGATTTCATGCTTGGAGGGGCAAATAACGACTTCAACAAATCGGGGAGCTTTAATCTGGAAGTAGCCCATGGCAAACTGCGATTCCATCTCCGCCGGCAAAGAATTTTAATATTTTTTGGAAGGCTTTGGCTGCCGGAGGTCGATAATTGAAGCTTTTGTGTCTAAGAGATTGTCTGGAATTTGAGCGGCGGCCGTAGGATGGGTGTGAAGGGAAAAAGTAAAGAATGGGAAGGGAATGAATTATAGGAGATAACCACAAAAAACTATAAGTAATATTAATAATAATAATAATAACTTTTTTAAAAAAAGTATAGGAGATGATGATTCAAAACGACGTCATTTCGAACGCCTCTGCAAAGCCAAATGACATCAATTCCTGATTTAGACCGTTGGATTGAACCTTATCAACGGTCCTAATTTAGTTAGAAGATCACACCGTTCAAATTGAACTTAAAAGACTCCTGACCAATTAGATTTGAACTTCTAAACTAAACAGAGATTTTTATTTTAAGTAGAGATAAGGATTAAGATGCAAAATGTGCAACTAGAATTAATATCGACATACCTTTCTGTACAAGAAAAAAGTTAAAAAAATAAAATAAAATAAAATAATAATAATTAATTGAAACATTGATCGCTCGACGAAAATAGACCTAGTAATAATTGGTTATATTCTTTTTGCATAATTTTGTTGCTTTTTCCTACTTGGCTATGATCCTAATAAGCCACTTCTTTAATTTCCGACGAAAAGAAAGTGGTCATATTTTCGTAATAATTGGTTATATTCTTTTTTGCATAATTGAATATAAGGTTATGAAGCTTTATCCTGTTATGAATCTGCAAAATAATGAGAAGTTTATCAGATGTCCTCTAATCACTAGAAGACCTGGCGTGTTTTAATTTGTATGCTCAAATCTGTTATTGTAGTCAACAAATTAATATATGGCCTCCGGTACTTTCGTTGATTTCACAGGCTAGGATTGAGGGGATAATGCAAATTGATGAGAACTTGGGGAAGATTGCAATGGTTGTTCTTAAAATTGATGCGCTGGTAGTTTACACTTGTAATGACAATTAATGGTCCTTTGATTCGGAATGTGCTTTTATATCCTTTTGTTTCCCTGGTGATTTTCATTCATATAGACACTGTTACATACATTTGCTAACGATTGGTTCTTAACAATTTCAGTTGGCAATGGATATAACCTCCTCATGAAAGAGTCACAAGCATAAATTAATAGACAACATGAAAGCAAATCTCACGTCTCAAGTACAAAACTTTAGAAGTTAAAAGCATAAAAAAAACCAATGTGTGATTATCAATGTCAGTATCATCCAAAACATCGTCCACAATATCTACTTGGTGCCCCCATGAAATTATCATCAGACCTCTTCATCAGGACTGTCATCGTCATAATCTTTGTCATCGTCTGTGTAACCACGTTTTAAAATCCCGCCAATGCATATCCAATCCTTTGTTCTCACATGGTTGACAATCAACTTGGAGACATAAGCAACCTTTTTCACTTGGTTGTTACGTGTGACCTGAATCACCCCACCACGTCCTACCCAAAACACTTGAAACACCAAAGGCAATCACCATTAGGGGAAAACTAGTGGACATTAGGTATAAAAGGAAGCCAGAGGCGAGAACATCCCCTGGTGTAAAGAAAAACAACATACCACTAGCATATTTTTCACTGTAGGGAAGATTGCATGCCAACTGGCATAAACTTTTCAGGGCCCAATTCGCGGCTCCCTGAAGAGAAATGAATCTACACAAACAAACAACAAATCACAATGACCAAAAAAGTCATAAAACTAACACTTAGCAAACCATGTTAGTAAACCAAAAGAGGAAGAGAACAAGGGAGAGGAATCGTACTTAGTTTCAGATGGGTTGCCCGGAGTCTGGCCCCGAGGACGTTTCTCTAATGAAGGCTTACCTACTAAAGGATCATTAACTCCCACAACAGAATAGAACATTTCATATCTATATCCGGTGGCTAATACATGACCTATTATCAGTGCCTGTCTGCCGTCCAAAGATACAATGCAGGACGGTCCTAGAAAGAATAAGAATAAAAGGTCTTGATTAACCAAAGTACTTGCAACAAAGACCAGCCTAGTTGATGCAGGAAGATTGAAGAAATAACTTTAAACTTCTAAGTAGTTTTATGCGTTCTTTTATATAATGTCAGTCTCCTTTTTGTGATGTGTTCTTTTTTATAATGTCGGTTTCATTAGAATCTCTCAATACATAGAGCAGTTCAGCTTTATTATTTTTGTTTTATAATTTATACAAAGTGAAGGTTTAGTAGCCCTCAAAGTGAAGGTATGCACTGTCTTTCTTAAATCCCTACTACTTGGTTCGCCTATCTCATCTCATTAGTTTTCATTTCTGTCAGTCTACTCTCATCAGTGCATACCTTTGTATCGTCCCACCCGGCGATGAGACCCACTTCACGGCGATTAAACAGTATCCTGGTCACCAACTCTACTGCCTGATTAACAGAGGCTCCAGGCACCCCATCATTTCCAAAGCGCATGCACTGGTATACACAACGTAGAGAAAACCCAGAGTAAAAGAGATCATTTTTTAAGTCTTTAGGGATATTGACAAAGCATTTTCAGGGAGCTGAGAGAGTACATACAAAATACCTGCCTTGGCACGCAGATCTTGCATTAACTTGTGGCATTCAATAGCCTTTCCGCCAGTAATAGTGACAAATGTGTGAGGACCAACAATATGAAGGTCGCACTCAGGATCATCAACTGGCATGATGAATTTAATAAAGTCAGATAAGAGCTAATTGTTCTGTGGGTTCAACATGTACCCAAGAAAACCGATATGGAAAAAATCATGCAACTATGAAACAAATTCAGGTACTAAAAAATAATAATAGACAAAAAGCTAAGAATCAGAGTACCCGAAAGTTTATGATTAAAAGCAACCAAAACCCCGTCGGGGAGAAGATAAGCAAAAGCCACGGGTCCTTTGTTTCCTAAAAAGTTTTCACCTTCGGAGCGGAGATGCTCAGGGAGAGGGACGATGGATCCAGGATTAGTGATTACCGCCCCATCTCTAACCTGGTGCCAATAATCAAACTCTAGATCAGACGGTAGTGAACGTACATCGCGGATAGACCCAGCAGGTACTTCCAAATCGACCTCTGGGTCGGGTGGACTACTAGATCCGGAAGAATCACGGGCTTTTTCCTCCTTTTCGCGACTACGGGATCCGGAAGCATGGAATTTTTCCTTCTTGGTGCGAACCGTGGTTGTTGGCCTAGTTTGCAAATTGTTTTCGAGAGGAGTGGTTAGACCTGGTGGGTTTAGGATTTGGGATCGAAAGGTAAAACAAGGGAGAACAAACAAATATCGGACATATGATTATTTATCTCTACACTACACGTGTGTAACAAATGTATCTAGCTAATGATATTTGGGTCAATACAAAAAACAATCCCAAGGTTTAATAGATTCTGTAAAATAACTTTACCTTTTGAAGATATATCAAAAAGCACGTTCAATTTTTACAAAAATAATCTGGAGGATATAATCAAGCACTCAATTTGTGGATACATGACAACTCTCTCTGCAATGATATTTTTTTCACCGTGGGAGAAAGGTGAAGGTGACATTCTGTATGTTAGAGGATTAATATTGGATCCAGAATTGAGGGATTTTAAAGATGAATTGGGAAGTGCAGTTCACGTATATACCTAGGAAATGTAATTTATGTGTCTGTTTTGGCAAAGGGGCACTAATTTTTTATTTTTCTTTAAATTTTTGATAAAGCCGCCAGCTCCATTGTTGTACTAATAGAGAATGAAACGGTAGAAACTGATTATTCCTCTTGTTTACCAAAAGAAAAAAAAAACTCATTGTGTAAGAGTTGCTCCCGCCATTCTATTTTTGAAACATACCAAATTTTTTAAAATATATATCGGTTGACAAAACAATACATGTTTTGTTTATTTTTTTCAATATTGCTCTCACATAGAAACTTGTAGTTGTATTGAAAGTAATATTGTATTAGAACTAAACTAGGTGTTAAACCCATCCATTGGACGGGGTGGATAATTTAAATAAAAATTGTGAAGTAAGAAAAATAAACTGTTGCCTTACTCTATGAATTTTGGTATAAAAATAAAACTGTTGAGTGTAAATATGGTATACATTTTTCATATATCAATATAGAATATAAAAAGAAATACATGACATGCTATTAAAATATTATTTTTTTTAAAAAAATAACGAATAAAAGGACTTTCGGGTTCTAACTGACCCAAAAAAACTCAAGGGGTACAACCAAGAGGTAAGTTTTTGAGCCAGCCAGTGCTAAATGATACAATGCACCCAAGGGGTAAACATATATATCATCAAGTTCCCTAGTTTTCTTCCTTCCTTGTTTTGTTAATTATCATAACAGAGAATTTGACAGTGCATAAGACTTACCAAAGTACAAAAACTTTTACTTATAACGACTTCGGATATATGGAAATAATATCTGATGTAGGAGGGCAAGTCCCCTAATATGCCTAGGTAGACTATTCAAAGTTTTCACATATTTTTGAATTGCCAAGTGATCCTTCTCCAGCTAAACCATCAGCCACAACATTTGCTTCTCTGTATATGTGATATATTTTATAGGATTACCTTTGAGTGATATGATGAATCTCCATGGTAGGCCAAAGATGCTTCCAAGGAATTGTATTTAAATCCACCAATAAGTCCGCCATTGTTTTATTATCTGTTTGTATAGCAACTTCCTTCAAGCTGTTCACATTTCCTGACCCCCATACAAAATTCCATACACTTCAGCACCAAAATTATCTCCTTCTCCCAAATATCTATGCTCCCCATACAAAAAAGCTCTATCACATCTTCTAATGGAAAAGCCATATCCCGAACCATTGTTGATCATAATATTATAATACTTTGTTTAAACGTCAATCAAAAATTTGAAAAATGAAAAAACAAAAAAATTTATTCAAAACTTGAATTACATAATCGAGTATCTTACAACACTTTTAAAAACTGCATTGGTGGTTTAGTTGTTAAAATTACTATCTTAATCATAGATTACAACTTTGTTTCCTTCTCTCGAAGTAGACTTCTTATGTTATATTCACATAAAAGAGAGATTAGCCGTTTGCTTGGATCATGATTCGAGACGCATTCAATACCTTTTGGAAGAAGACTGGTATGTGAAACTTTTTTTTTTAATAATTGAAAGGTTGGGACGATGTTCAAGTTCCAACTGACACAAAAATACTCAAGTGATATACCCAGGAGATATCTTTTGCGCCAGCCAGTGCTAGATGATACAATGCACCCAAGGGATGGATATATATACCATCTTGTTGCCTAGTTTCATCCCTCTCCGTTTATTAAGATATCATAAAAAGGACCTGGCAGTGCATAAAACTTACCAGTATACAATTATGAGAAACAAATTTAAAAGTGCACCTAGAATACATTACATATGTATCAATGAGTTCTGACGTTTGGAAAGGACTGTTGATCTAGCAATACTAACCCCCTTGAATTAGAGGGGAGACTAGCTAAATCATGAAAGATGTGCGAGTTGCCCGAAGATGCCAATCTAGCTAGACTATCCGCTACTGAATTTGTTTCTCTATATATGTGCAAAACCTCATATCCCCGTTTTCCAATGATGTCAGCGATTTCTCTTAATTGAAAGTGCGCTTGCCAAGGAAGAATGGACTCCTTGTTAAGCATATCAGCTAGCATGAGATTATCTGTCTGATTCTCCACCTCCATCAAACCTAGAGCATCACATTTTCGAATTCCAAAAAGGAGTCCCGCCACTTCAGCCATGAAACTGTTTGTGAAACCTTAGCCAGCCTTGCCATAAATAAAAACTCCCAAATCCCTTCGGATGACAAAGCCATAACTGGAGTACGTAGCATTAGCCGATCCATCAGTATTTGAAACAAATTTCCCATTCTCCAGATGCTTCCATTTAACAATCATGTTTTGCTTCCTTCTTTATTCAAAGATGGCAATTCGAAAAATTCTCTCCAGCAACTCTTTCTCCACACGATTACGAGCCCTTGGACAGTGTACTATTAACATGGATTGTAAATGATCAAAGATCGTGTTGGAAACTATTTGAACATGGACCAAATTTCCATAAAAAATCACCTTGTTTCTTCTCTTCCAAATCTCCCACAACATGAATAAAAGAGCCACCATTATAATTGCTTTCTTTGTTGACTTGAAATTCCCTACTATCCACCAAGCTTGCACTAGATGCCAAATTGTGTGAATCATCGGCAAAGAAATTTCCAACAATCGAGCAAAATGTTTTCGTACAAACTGCGCCTCCTCACATAGCAAAAAAAGCTGATGAATCGTTTCTTCTTCCTTGTGACAAAAGAGACAAATTGAAGGCCGAACAAGTATTCCAAGCCGCCATATTGCATCCACAGTTGGCAAAAGTTTGTTCAATAATTTCTAGAAAAAGAAGGAGATGCGCGTTGGAATGTATCAATGCCAAGCATTGCGTAAAGAACCCTCCACACGCTGATGTGATCGCAACACTTCATGCGCCAATTTAATAAAAAACAACGCTGATTGTTTCGGAGTCCAAACTACCTTATCTCGCCCCTCTACAAAAGGTTGATCCATTTCAGCAAGAGAGATTAAGACTTCTTGCTCAACATGGCCTTGAAATTCAACCAACAATGATTCCTTTTCCTCAAAAAAAATCCTTTATAGAAAGAGATGGTCTTGGCGGAGCCTCATTATGGATATCCCAAATAACCCCTAAAGTCGACCAATTATCATGCCAAAAACTTCTTTCACCATTATACACAATTATCCTCGTGTGAGATGCAACAGCAAAATTAATTTTATGAACACATTTCCAAGAAGTCTTTGTGCGAGCTGAAGAAGATAATGAAAGCAAAAACTTTGCCCACAAATCCTTTTGATTTTGTATTTTCCACCAGATTTTGCAGAAAAGGCTTTAACAACATCTCCAAATTTCCGTATACCTAAGCCATTTTCCACTATTGGAATATCCAATCGCTCCCAAGATCGCCATTGTCGCTTGACATCACCCGAACCTTGCCAAAGGAATTTTTTACACCGATTCTCTGATGCTTCCAAGACTGATTTTGGCGACTCTAAAGCAGCAAAAACATGTATTGAAATCACCGATAAAATATGCTTTATAAGAATAAGCCTTCCCCCTTGACTAAGCAAGTTGTTTTTCCAATTTGTAAGCTTGGAGTCAGGTGCATCGAGAAGATATTGAAAAAAAAATAGCCCGTTTGCACCCATTGTAGAGCCGATATCCAAGATATATAAAAGGAAAAAAAAAACCTTGTTGCATTCCAAGAACTTTCTTAATGAGTTGAATCCGATTGGATGGACACCCTTCCGCAACATAAAAGTTACTTTTCTGACGATTGATTTTTTTGTCCCGAAGCTACTTCATATCCTTCAAAGAGCTTATTCAGCTCAATCATTGACCCTCGTAAACACAATTAAGTCACCAGCAAAATAGAGATGTGAAACCACAAGAGATCCTGATGGCGTACCATAATTGACTATCGTTTGCTGGCTAGATAAAAATTTCAATCTTCTTGACATTGCCTTAGAAACTATAATGAACAAATAGGGCGAAAGAGGATCCCCCTGTTTGATTCCCTGAGTAGCTAGAAAAAACCCTGTCGGACTGCCATTTAACAAGATAGAGAACCAACTACTCTTTAAGTTAGATAAAATGAGACATATAAAATGATCAAGAAAACCAAGCCTTTGAAGCACCTTCTGCAAAAAAAAAACTCGAAGATACCTTGCCAAAAGCTTTCATCATATCTACCTTCAACACTAAATTATTCCCAACTGACTTGTGACCAATGCCTTGACAAAGATCCTGAGCAAGCAATATGTTGCCTGTGATATCTCGACCTTCAAAAAAAGCTGACTGTTCCTCAGAGATTATCTTGTATAAAACACACTTCAATCTCTCAGTGAGCACCTTAATAAAAACCTTGTTAACAAAGTTACAAATACTAATTGGTCTGATATCCGAAAAAGTTGTTATTGAGGATTTCTTCGGAATTAAGGTTATTAAGGTGCTCCCAACTGCCCGTGGATTAGGCACACCTCACATAAATTCTTCACACGCTTTTGTACGGTCATTAGCAATTATGGACCAGCAGCTTTTTTAAAATAAACCTCCAAAACCATCTGAGCTCGGGGCACTTTCCACGTCTAGTGCATCAACAACCAATTTAATTTCATCTCGCGCAATTGGCTTCAATAGAATATGATGATCTTCTTCTTGGATTAGGGCTGGAATAGGTTGTAAAAACTTTTGCTCCACCGACACATCTTCAAATCCTCCTTCTTTAGTCAGCAAATTTTTGAAAAATTCAGTAGCATGCTGCTCAATGTCCGCGGAATCAGTTAGACATGTACCATCTTCTTAATGGATTTTGTATGTGCAACTTAAACACACTTCCTGATGTACTTGCTAAAGAAGCGTTAGACATAGAGGGGCGCCCATATTTTTCTTTGAATCACCCCTAATTGTATTTCGGTGCTTTGAAAATAGGAATGTTTAGGTTGTAATATGACGTTGAACTAAGTCATATAGCCTCATCAATGAATGTCTTTTTTTTTAGCAAAAAAAAAAAAAAAAAAGAAGAGATTAGCCCTCACTTTTATTTATTCTCATTGCAAAATAAAATCTGAAAGAAAATGTTTTCTTTCCACTTTAAAGGAATACTAGATGCTTGGCCCGGACAGATGCCCGGGCGGCCCCTTCCGTTATAAGTAATTTTTTTGCAAATGGAAAGGAAAATTCTAATCTAAATGAAATATATATTGTTATATATATATATTATTATAATGTGTAATGATAGAAATAATAATTATATCTATAAGCGGATTTAATGTTAGATAAGGTTGAAAAAATATTTATTTGAAATTATCATCTAAATTTTAGGATCTTTTAATTGATTATATAAAAAAAGGATTTTCTAAACTAATCAAAGTAATATAGGAATCAAATTGTGAGAAATAAAAATAAAGATCATAACAACAATAAATTTCATTAAAGCTTTTGTTTTTTTTGTTCGCCTGAAGGCATGGGAGCAAAATTTTTAATTTGAAACCTTTTGATATGAATTTGAAGCAAAATTTTGGCCAGAGTTATTTATGAGATTTGAAGGGGAATTGAAGCAATGGTTGAATATGTTGATTTTTTGGATGGCTTCTGTGGAAATAGGAGCGCTCAACAATTTGGAAGGAATTTGACTAAGAGCTATGAATTTTAATTTTCACAAATTTGTAGGAATTTAATGTGATCTGGAAGTGTATTTTAGAAGTTTTAGAAGTTTTTTTTTTATCCAGAAATAAGTTTATTTTTTAGTTTTTTGTTTTAGAAAAAGAATGACACATGGCAAAATAATTTATGTAATATGGTGCATTTGGAGCCAAAAATTTTTAATACGAAGTTGTCACATCAACATCCTGCATTCTGCTTTAATAGGGTAAAGGGATTTAGTAGGATAGTCAATTCATGACATTACCGTGAAGCAGGCTCGAACTTAACATGAAATAAATGGGATTGGTCAGAAATTTGAAGTAACAACAAAATTTATTTGAGATAAAAAATTCCAATCATCACTTTGAGGTAAAAAAAATAATCGACCTAACCGCCAACTTGATCCCAACCTATTTTGACAATCTTAACATTTACTAACATATGTAAAATATGTATACATTATTGCCCAAATTGTTGCTCGAAATCATTTTTAATTGTTTTTTAACGTCATTTCATTTGTTTTCTTCATCTAATCTTTTACATGATTTTTAGTGATTTTAACTTTTTTTTTTTGAAATAATGATGCATTCTCGACTCGTTATATTTTAGTTATTTCACATGTCTACTCATTTATTTTAAGTTCTTTAAATTTTCTTCGTGACCATTTATTTTGTCTCAAGTCTATTCGTTATTAGAGATTTTTAATTGAAAATATAATATTGGGAGTATCTTGATCCTCACTTAATAAAAATAATTTTTTTTCATCATTTAATATCTCTCAAATGATTTTCAACGATTCCCGATTTTATCATTTTGGTTAATCTCAATTTTCTAATTGTAAAATTTAATTCTCAATTCACCAGTTTTAATTTCTTTACCCTTTTAATTTATTTGTTTTTCAATTTCTATCAAATCGAATTTGTCTCAACTCTACATTTTAGAAAGAATTTTTTTTTTTATTCAAAATGTATTGATGGGAGCAGTTGTGTTTCCTTAATAATATCATTGATATTATTTTTTTAATCTAATTTCTCTTTAGGTGGTTTTAGTCATTCTGAGCATTACATTTTAGAGGAATAGTAAAAATATCAAATTAGTAAAAATTGAATAATTTTCTTGCCTAAAAGCTCTGGCCGCGGAACCCTAAGAGAAAAATTCTGGCCACCGGCTAGATCTTTCTGCAGCGCTGGCTCCACCTCCTGCCACATCGAAAGGAGCCACGCCCTCCTTCATAATCATCCCACAAGCTATACCCTATAATCGCCACACGGTTACCTTTGTCGCGACGTGTTGCTGCCGAATCCGCCGCTCGCTGGGCTTCCGAATTGAGTTGCTGCGGGGCCGGATGCACTGCTGATCGACGCATCTGCTGCTTCCTCATCATCAGAGTCGCATCAAAGCCGCCCGCAACCGGCTGCTGGTGCTGCCGTTATTGCTATTGGCGCACGGATTCCGCACCGGGGCTTCTTTTGGTCGCACTATTCATCAATGAATTAAGAGCTTCTTGTCATGGCTGGTGTTGCAACTGCAACCACTAGGCAGCCCCCGACATTTGCAAACTTTTTCAAGAAGTCGAACACCTTGAAAATTGCAAATCGGGCGAAAATCAAACCCATTAAATATATTAAGGGGGAGCCAGTTTTGGAGATTGAAGATGAAGAATTTGAACGACTAATTGCCCCTCATGGGCTTAGTCTTGTTGCGAAATCCTCCTATGGCTGGACAACAATGAAGAAAATCAGAGAAGAATTTAAGAATCTTGGATTGATGAACCCACGTCGTGTATTAATATATGGTTGTGAAGCTGGAAACTAGCTACAATTTCGTTTCAGAAGTCGACTCCAAAATCCCAGTGAAAGTCGGCGAAAAACTGCACTGAATACGACTACTCACGGCTGGAATTCTGGATTTCCAGCAAACACTTTGAAGGCAAGTGTCTCAACTTCTTGAATTCGAATTGGAAACTCAAACCACAGGCTGAATTAATACATGATAGTTGTAGAAGACATCAGTAGGTGAATTATGGTGTTGATTTCGTGGGTATTAGCTCACAAATCAGACCCGTGATGGAGATGAAGATTCCGGCGAGAACATTGAACTTCCACGACTTGAGCGCACTCCATTTTCGGCTTCAGAAGAGAAAAAGAATCAATGGAGTGTCTAGATCTAGCAAGGAGGAAGGTTTTCGCATAAGCTGGGTTCATTTTGATGAAGGAAGGAAGGAAATCCGAGAGATCCCGGCCACGGCGCCCGGCGGTCGGTAGACTCAAAACGGGAAAGAAGAAAGAAAGTTTCTAAAATTGCTAATTTGATCCCTCTTTTCCCAAGAATTTGCAGCGAAGGTCTGAAGATTTACAAGTGTCAAAGAAGGTTCAAATGGTGCCCAAAAGTTCACGATATTATCACTTTAACCCCTGTTTCAAGGATTGCTTATTTGGGGAAAGCTCAATTCGGCCCAAGTATTTGTTTTACTTATTCACTTCAGCCCATCCGTCCCATATGCTGATATGCCTATATATATTCTATTGTGTACCAAATTTAGGGGATCTCCTCTTTAGTTCAAATTTAGACTCTCCTAGCATAGTATTTCTTAGTTTTTACTCCTTCATTACATAGTTTTGGCTAGGGTTCTCAAATTTGGGATCTATAAACCAGCTTTTACTGCGTAATTGGTTAAGGGGATTGGACATAGGTTATGATTGTGTCCAAGGTGCATGATTTTGGAGAAAACGCTAATGCTCTCACTCTCCTATGGAGTTTGGAATTGTGAAGATGTTTGGAGTTTGGTTTAGCTTTTACTTAGAAAAGGGAAGCTTTTCTCAATCTCTTAATCTTTACTTGTGATTTATATTCTCATGAATGGTGTTTATCCTTAATTATGTGTATTCATAATGCATAGTTTCTAAGTAGATGAAGAGTATATGTTCATTCTCTTAGTTTATGCCTTGTAAGCAATGAGATGTGTGTTGAGTTCAATAATTTTTCTTTTTGTGTTATAGCATACAAGTTAAATGGATCCTTTGACTTGCATGTTTTAGGACCTTTATGGACAACTCTTTATCTTCATAAAGGTAGGAATATAATTATTGGAACTCTTGTAATTCTACTTTAGGGATAAATAGCATGAATGGGTGGATAGAAGATGTTAATTGGTTTAATCTAATTGGCTAAGGTCACATAGGTATAGGGGTTAGTCATGCCATTCTAGGGACTAGGTATAGAAACTAGAGAGAAAAGCAGCATCATCCCTCAATGAAATACCTCTCATTGGTGACTTTGTGTGAATTATTGCTTGAGTCCGATGATGAAATATGAAATGCATGCTTGTGTGATATAGGTTTTTGTGTAGTCTTTGTTTACATGGAAAGTAAGACCACTTAGACTTGAGATTGTTGTAGCTCTACGACACAGAAGTGTAAAGAGTGAATCAATGGGCCTAAACCACCACACTTAATCTAATGACTAGATGAGATCGAAAGAAGATTCTAGCATTGAGTTCTAACAACTAGGAATAGAAGTTAGGGGTATAACAGAAAATGGTTCTGTAATCTCCAAAATCTTATTGGCATAGTTAGGTTGAATGAACACGACGTTCATCACATCTTAGGAATACATTAATAACGTTGTTGCCCTTCTTATTGTCGTAGCCCTAGTTTCCTTTAGTTGTTTTCCTTTTGTTGTTATTTTATTTATATCTTTCAACTCTCATTATTTGTGCGTATCATTCTTGTGTGTAAAATCATCTCTTTTCTCAACCCCTCACAATTTAGCACTAATTTAGGAAATAACCTCCTCATGGGATCGACCCTTACTTGCACGACACAATGGCGGGCTTCCTCTTGGGTCTTGAGTACGTGCAAACAAGGTTTTTATTATTTGTTTGCGTGTGTAGTTCTTATATACATCCGAAACGCATCACAACACTCCCGCTAGGTACTGCTATAGATTTTCCTAAAAAAAAAAGATGCTAATAAAAAAAAAGTCCATTGCCAAAGCTCAAACAAATTTTCGGCTCTACTAGTAGTTGATAATGATGACTATTTTGTTGGATGAGAATGATGATGATGTAGAGAATGTCTTCACAAAAGGGCTCACAGAACATCAACAGCCCTTGGTTAGTATGGAATTAGATGTTGTTTTGAGAAATAAGGTTGCAAATGAAGAAGTTCAAAAGGAGGGCACCAATAGCAATGAGCAACAACAACTAGTTGTTTTTTATCCGGTTTTGCATGAACATGTGATTGAGGAGAATGCTAGTGAGTCCATGCGTAAAGAAGGTGATCCAGATGAGGGCTTGTTAGCAGATGCAGTGGTATGCACGCCGAAACAAGTAGATGCGAAAGAGCTACGTATGACAGAAAACATGGAGAATTTAAAAAAAATCATTGCTCAAGTTGCGAAGGGTGAAAAACCTGATTTTATCTCGGCTCGTAAGCAATGGAAAAAGCCTAGTGCCAATGGGAAACCGAGAATACGATGCTTGGAAAAAAAATTGTTAGTTATAATCCTTTGAGTTTATTATCTTTTCTGAACTTTTTTAGTCGCTTTGTAAGGTTTACTGTTTACTTAACAGTCTTGGCCCTCACTATGAGACCTTCACCACAACGATGCTAAAACCGCCACACCCTACGTATTCTGAATTAGTCGATCAGCTTCAGAATCTGGATCAGAGATGCAGCTGGTTTTCCACGCAAACTGAAGTCCAACTGGCTCCTCATGTTCCTCATCTTGCCTTCTATAGTCAGCAACAGAAAGCTCCGGCTTCCTTTCCTGGTCGGCCTCCTTAATTTACATCTCAGGGTCGTGGTTTTCAGGCTTAGGAGCATCGTTCCTTCAATTCCACTCCAAATCCACTTCCTGGAACCAAAAATTCCCAGCCTCGTAAGCCAGCTCCTCCTGGTGAACGTCGGATGACGGCTGCAGAACGTGAGTTATATCGCGATCAGGTGTGTCAATTTTGTGGTCGTCCTGGCCATATTGCAAAAATCTGCTGGTTTATTCCCAAAAATTCTGCTCTCTTGGCGCCAGAGAATGCCCTTCCTCAAGCTCTTGCTTCTTTGACTCTCGACAATTCAGTTGTTGATCATGACTGGTCGTCGGACTCCGCGGCGACAAACCACATGACCACACAGGTATGTTCACTACTCTTCGTCCTTATCATGGTCACGATTCTGTCCTAATTGGTGATGGATCGTCCATTCCAATCACAGGTGCTGGTGATTCGACTCTTACGCAAAATAATAACTCTCTTTCTTTGTCCAATGTTTTATTTGTTCCCGATTTAAAAAAGAATCTCACTTCTGTGAGTAAATTAACTTCTCAATATCCTGTTAATTGTGAATTTTCTAATGCTGATTTTTGGATAAAGGATCGGAAAACAAACAGGTTACTAATGAAGGGGGCAAAGAAGGGTGATCTCTATACCATCTCCAATCAACCACAAGCTTATGTTTCCTATCGTTTTAAGTCGGGAAGCAATAATCTCTGGCATCAACGCTTGGGCCATCCTCACGCTTCTACTGTTAATCGCTTGCATTCTAATGGTCTAATTAGTGTAGTTGGTTCTCTACGACCCTCACATGTGTGTGATAGTTGTCAACTTCGGAAGCTTAGCAAGCTCCCGTTTGATCGTTCTCAAAATAAAGCTACTACTATGTTTGAAAAAATTCACTGTGATCTTTGGGGTCCTGCCCCGGTTGTTTCTATTGGACAATTTTTTTTATATGCTTGTTTAGTAGACGATTATTCCAAATATACTTGGTTTATTCCTTTGAAAAAAAATCTGATTTCACTTCGGCTTATTTGGCATTTGAAAAGAATATTTCTCGTCAATTTAATAAAAATATTAAGATCTTTCACTCCGATGGTGGGGGTGAATTCATTAACTCTCAATTGTCTTCCCATTTTCTTGCTACAGGGACTATACATCACATTTCTTGCCCCTATACTCCAGAACAATCCGGAGCTGTGGAAAGGCGACACCGGATCATCCGTGAAATTGGAATGACAATGTTGTTCCATAGCAATTCTCCGCTTTATTTGTGGGTCAAAGCTTTTTCAACTGCTATGTATTTAATGAATCGGTTACCCTCCTCCGCTCTAAATTTTTCCTCACCTTAGTTTGTTTTGCATAATTCACAACCTGATTATTCAATTTTACGAGTTTTTGGGTCAAAATGTTTCCCGTATGTCTTGATACAAAGCTTCATATATTTAACCCCAAATCTATTTTATGTGTTTTTACAGGCTATAGTGAGAAATACAAAGGGTACAGGTGTTTTGATCCCGTCGGAAAAAAAAATTTTATTTCACGACATGTTGTATTTGATGAAACTTTTTTTCTGTTCAAGTCATCTAGGGATTTTACTTCGTCCAAAAAGGTGGGGGTGATATTTTTAACTCATGGTTATTCTCTTCTACTGACACTGTTAATCTCTCAACAGGTACGTCGAGTACTTCGAGCTCAATTGATATTCCCGTTCCTGCGACTTCTATATCGACCCTCGAAACACAACTTCCCTCTGGTCTCAAAACTCCACCCTTGAAGCCTCCTTCTTCATTCCCCTCTGATTCCCTCTCGGCTTCGCATAACTCGTCTCCAGCTTCTCCTTTGTCTTCTAGCCCTGTTCACTCCTCCTCTTCGGGTCTCTCTCCCCAGCCTTCCTCTATATCAATCCATCCAATGACTACTCGCTCCAAACTTGGCATCGTCCAACCAAATCCGAAATATGCCTTGACAGTTACTTTGTCTCCTTCTATTCCTCGCGAACCAAAATCTGTTAAAGCGGCTCTTGCTCACCCTGGTTGGACAGCTGCGATGAAAGAGGAGCTTGCCGCCCTACACCATAATCAGACGTGGACGTTGGTTCCTCGCAGTGCCAACATGCATGTAATTGGCTCTAAATGGGTATTCAAGTCTAAAATTCATCCTGATGGTACCTTGGATCGCCTCAAAGCTCGCTTGATCGCCAAAGGTTATCATCAAGTTGATGGCCTTGATTATACTGAGACCTTTTCTCCAGTTATTAAGCTTGGTACTATCCGCCTGATCTTATCTATTGCATTAATGCATCATTGGCCTCTTCGTCAATTAGATGTAAGAAATGCTTTTTTACATGGCTTTATTACTGAAATATTTACATGGAGCAGCCTCCCGGTCATCATCATTCTGATTTTCCTGATTATGTGTGTAAAGTTAACAAAGCTCTTTATGGCTTAAAACTGGCTCCTAGGGCTTGGTTTGATCGTCTCAGTCAATTTCTCCTCAACTACGGTTTTTTCTGCAGTTTGGCTGACCCTTCACTTTTTATTTTTCATTCATCCTATGGTAGTTTAGTCCCTTTTAATTTTTGTGGATGATATGCTTCTTACTGGATCTTCGTCTACACTCATTACTTCATTCCTTAATGTTTTGTGTTCTGAGTTTTCAATGAAGGATCTAGGTTCGCTTCAACATTTTTTGGAAATTGAAGTCTCTCCTGTGGCTGATGGAATGTTACTTTCTCAAACACATTATGCCTTGAATATTTTAGAACGTTGCGATATGACTAACTGCAAACCAATGCCTACTCCACTCGAGACGAAGTTCACCGTCCCTGATTCTGCTCCCCTTGATGATCCAACTTTCTATCGAAGCATTGTTGGTGCCTTACAATACTTGACTCTCACACGCCCTGATCTTGCTTACTGTGTGAATTACGTATCTCAATTTATGCATGCTCCAACTTTGGCTCACATGAGACTTGTTCACCGAATACTTCGCTATGTGAAAGGCACCATAACTCTCGGCCTCCACCTTCTAGCTTCTAATCCGCTTCAATTGCATGCTTTTTCAGATGCCGGCTGGGCAGGCTGCCCTTTAACTCGATGGTCAACTACTGGATATTGCACTTTTCTTGGTTCTAATCTCATCTCCTGGTGTGCAAAAAAACAACACACAGTCTCTTGCTCTAGCACTGAGGCCGAATATCGTGTTATGGCTAATACTGCTGCAGAACTCACCTGGCTGACCTATCTCCTTCAAGATCTTCAAATTTGCCTTGAGTCTCCACCACTACTTCAGTGTGGCAATCTCAGTGCCTTGTTCTTGACAGTTAATCCAGTCTTTCATGCTCGTAGCAAGCACATTGAATTGGACTATCACTTTGTTCGGGAAAGAGTTGCCTTAGGCCTTCTTGTAACCAAGCATGTCTCCTCGGCTCAACAAGTAGCTGACATCTTTACAAAGCCAGTCCCTAAAGCTACTTTGCCCTTTTTCAGACGCAAACTGAGTCTCTTGCCCCGATCAGTTTGAGGGAGGATATTAACGATAATTCTCAACAATATAATTCTGATCATGAGCTACAGAGTATGAGGAGCGATAAGGTGATCATGGAGAGATAAGGATCATACTCAACTTAGAGATATGAATGGTGTCAAGATAGTTTAGGTCATCTCAATCCTAACTAGTGTTGCTTCTATTAAAACACAGTCTTGTGCGATAGTTACTGTTTAATTTTTAGTAGTTATCACATGAGTTTAGTAAGTCTAAAAATATAGACTTTATCACTGTATCCATTTTATGGTGGAAGAAAATAGAAGCATAATAAAAGAAGTCCAAAACCTTTTCTACGTTGGTTTATTTTTATCTTTTCTACAAACTCTAACTTTTCTCTCTAGATTCTTCAAACATTTCTAAAATCTATCGGTCCAAATACAAAATAGTTTTTTTTATCCAGATATAAACATTTCTAAAATTTACAGATATATTGGGCCAGGGTCGTGCATTGCCAGACATCACTAGTGATAATATAGAGCATGTGGAAAAATGTACTTGGACATGTTTGTTGTTTAAAGGGGGTTCATTGAAAATGGCGTAGACATAAAATTATTTAGTTTTAAAAAGAATATTATGATATAAGTTGCATTTATTACTTTTTATTATTAGGAGATCATGTAGTTGATGTCTTTGCAATGAGTCCCAATTAATATTATTTATTATGATATGGAATTGAATGGTAATTTTCAAGATTGGTTTTTATGTAATCAATTAGGGGTTTTGATTTTCTCATAATAGTAAACTAAAATGGAAAAGAATTGACGTTGATGACGACATTGATTACTTTTTAGTATGGACATATAATGTCGTTATTGTCTTTCCGGTGAGATCAATTAGAATTAATTAGTATAATATGGAATGGAATGGTAATTTGTGTGATTGGGTTTAGACGTAGTCAATAAGGGTTTTTTTATATAGAAATTATAGTAACTTAAAAGGAAAATAAATTGACGTTGATGGCGACATTGATTACTTTTTTTATTATGGGCAAATCATGTTGTTGATGTCTTTTCGGTGAGACCCAATTAGATTTATTTATTCTAAAATATTCTTGGAATGGTAATTTTCAAGATTGGGTTTAAACGTAGTCAATAAGTGTTTTTTGATAGAGAAATTACAGTATAGGAATCGGAAAATTAATTGACGTTGATTACGGCATTGGTTCTTTTTCTATATGTAAATAATTAAAAATTAAATGGAAACTATTTTCTATCTTTAATTCCTTAGCGGGAAAGAGGAAAAAGAAATTTTGCATAATCACCAATTACTAACGTATCACAGTTGTAGAGCAATCTTACGTGATTTTAGTCATATTGAATTCCTATATTTTCTTTAATTGTTTCTGATCTTTGGAGATCTCTCGCCTCATTTAATCTGACGTCTAAACGTAGTCCGTTTTCCTTTAATATAAGCCTTAGATACTTTAGTGTATAGGTTTATTGTCAAAGGAAATTTGAAAAACAAATAAATTTGCAGGAAATTCAAAATGAATTAGTATGTAGTCTCAACGCATTAATCTGAATCATAGCATATCATGAATTGACGTTGTTGATCTAAACTTGATATTTTTACTTTATCCACATGTAACTCAATCTCATGTACATTGCTTAAAGCTACATAAACTCCATAACCTCGGATTTTTTTTCATTTTTCTGTTACTGTATGTGTATACATTTTCTCAATAGTGTCCTGGAATCGTAGTTTATATTTATTAAGTAGTAATTAGCTCTGACATTTTTGAGTTAAATGATAGAGTGTATTCGTGCTTTAACAATTTCAATCAAAGGTCATGTTTGTCTTGGAATGAATTAAAAAAACATAGTGTATGTAGTGTATCTAGCGGAAAATGCAAACTATTAAAAAACGGGGTACTTATATTTAAGTTTGAAAAGTACATTAATAGAATCACTATTGAGATGTCCAGGAATAATTTTTATATTATTTGAAATAAAGAGAAGCTTATTATGCGGTGCGCTTCCTGCATTTTCCAGCTACTCATCATCATCAAGAATTATCTTCCTTTTTCAGGTATTTGCGGATTGCACTGTCGAGGAGAAGATTCTTGATTTCTGACCTTTTGCTTGTCAACAGGACTACTTACAGTAGTGACCTGATCTTCATTTATATGGTCATTATCTCCCGATTGCGATGCAACATTCTACATTACATGAATAAAATTTGTTAAGTTGTTTTTTTTTTTTTTTGGAAACTGTTGTTGATGAATTAGTAATAATGCTATAATTTACATACAAAAATTATTATTTAAATACCTTAGATTCTTCTGTCACTCTTTTTGTATTCTCATTCGGAGTGGTCCATATAAGATACACCTTCCTGCAAGTTGAATTAATTACATGTAACATTCCATATAGATTAGTGGGCGGGATAGAAAAATTTGTACAAAGAGTAACTCAAATAATGATATAAATGATATAGATACATAATTGACTAAATGCAACACCATTTCTATGTCTTGTTTATAAATGGCCATGAACTCAGTGATTATGTCCGGGTCATCAGTCATCTTTGCAACCTTTATATCAGCCGACATGTTTGGATTATAGTTTGGTGATATGTCAAGTTTGAACAGGCACTGTTTATTAAGCATTGCATCAATTTCTATAGGGTAATCATAAAGATCTTCATTATTTGAACTCTGCATTTCCAAACCAAAAATGTTAATAATAATCAAATGATCTATATAAAGCAAGTGTAACCGTATAATATGTCACCTCTTTCTGCATATCAGCTTGTTTTCTCCTCAATTCAAGTGTTGTCCTATTAATCAAGTGCTTCACATCCTTATCCCATAATATAAATGTGGCACAGCCGGTTGAATCGATAACCCAAACATTTATCTTAAACCTGTATAATTATAGATTATTTCTGCAAGGGTCATCCGAGGAATATCATTAAGAAAAGCATCACGTCTAGTGATTGTTGTTTGGGACTCCATTTGAGTAATCCGATTAGAATCGTTGCCCAATCCATCAGCTTCAATCATCCTAATAGTAATTCATCCATTTAGGTTAATTTTTTTTAAATTTTTTGTTAACATATACGGAAAAGTTAAAAAAATAATTAAAGACAATTTATACCTCTGTCGGTAAGAGTTGAACTCATCAATGTCAAGATCAAGAAAAACTTTGCCTCCAAATTTGGCATTTTGTACATACCACTTTCCTGAAAAGATTATTCAATTTAAATTAAAAAATACATATAAATAAGTAAATTATAGTTTTTGAGGTTGAATTACCATTAAATTCTTTGATTATCCTAAATCTCAGAGCAAAAATAACACGGCCAGTATTCTTACCCATATAGTCCCTTACAGTTACCGCATGCTCATTCCATAGAGTCACTTGGAGTGTCATTTTTCTGGAAAATGACATGAATAAAACATAAATATAAATTAAAACATCAATAGTACAATGTAATAAACACCACACAAATATTTTTGCTCACTCCAAATCTTCCAATTCGATGTCTAAAATTTTATTGCCCGCCTCTTCTTTGATTTTTGTGCCTCTCAAAATCTCACCAATCACATCTACATTTAACAATAAGTAGATTTTTGTCAGAAGAATATACAAATTATTTAGTGTTTATAAAAATAAATCTCATTAGTACTTACCTATGAGATAATCATTCTTGATAGGATTCATTGTCAAATCATAATCGAAAGGAACAAATTCGAATGAATGTTTCGGGATGGAGTCAATTGTGCAGGGTTCCATCCTTGTGTTGCGCATGAAAGCAATCTTATATTTATGCTAGTTCGACTTGTAATTTCCTGTGTATTCAGCCATATCAAAGTTGGTGATTTGCTTGGTCTCTCCTTCTCCATCTTCAAGAAGCTTTTGAAACTTCCACATGAGTTTTTTGTGGACAGAAGCTTGTATTTTTTTACCATGAAAGTGGAGACAAACAACAACACGCGAGTTAAAAATAAATGGGTTACTAAATATGTGATATTCATCTGAATCGAATTAACAAAACAATTAATTTAACTGATTGGATACAAACTAAATTGTTTTATTTAACCTGTTCATCAATAAGTAAAGCTTCAATCGATGTGTTTGCCCCAAAAAGTGCTATCCAAACATGTAGTATTCATACATTAACCTTCCAATCAGATTTAACAACCATTGGTGTCAAGTGTTTGATGAGATCGACAGTGTGGCTGCTGTGGGAGGTTGAGATAGATCCTATATGGGTGGAGGAAGTTTTTGGAAGAGAAGATGATATTATCTATGAAGTTCAGCTACGTAGTGCATTCGGTAATGGAGTAATGTAAATATTTATATTGTGCGAACCATGATCTCTGGTGATATGTATTTTATTACGATGGATAATTATTTCCGTAATTAGTTTGGAGATTTGATAAACTCTAATTCTACACAATTATCACCGAATAATACAAAGGATAAATGAATGTTAATTTTTTTAAGATTCTTTTTCTTTTTGTTGACTGTGAGTCCAAAAACAATCATAGCAAATTTTGGGGATGACGAAGATTCTGCGTAGTTTAATCCGGTTCAATTTCTTGTTTTTTTCTTGACGTTGGATAAAAAAACAATCATAGCAACCGCGTGACTTATTCCGGTAATTTTGTTAATTGACATTTTCCTATTATAATCGGAAAACCCCAATATTTAGTGATCTTCTTAATAATAATACATCAATGTCATTTATTTACGATTCTATTATTTTCGCTTGACTTTGGGACAAACAACAAACAAAAATTAATGTTGATTGATTGGTTATAAGTAATTGTATTGCTCTAGATTTTCAAAAAACCGTACATTACCACAAATATGTATGTGCTCAATTTTTCTTCAATAAATTCCCAAGGAATTATGTTGTTATTGTATAAACCTTTTTTTGTGAGATTTTTTTATAAAAAAGCCACATAGGATTTTTGCTTACGTGGCAACGTAAAAACTCTTTTTGAAACCTCTCTCTAGTTTCTCTCTTAGTATAATACCATAAATAGATGTAAGATTTTAAAGATTCAATGTGTATTTATTTTTTTAAAAATAAGATTTAGGGTTTAGACAGATCAATGTGGATTATTTTTTTTCTGGGTTATAATGAAAGATCCAATAACTTTTTCTAAAAAAATAAATCTGTAAATTCTCATTTCACTCAAGGTGGATCAATCACTAAACTTCTAAAAAATAGATTTAAAACTTATGGCAAAATTAGGATTACATATGTATAAAATAATTTATTGTTTATTATGCATTAGGAGATAATTATATGTGTGTATTATTATGACATCCCTTGTTTTTATTAAAACTAAGTTTGTCTTTGTCACGCGTTGTGCGACCAGTTTGTATTATATAATTATTATATTGTGTTCGTAACCAAAAAGTAATACTACAGAGAAAGTATAAAAATAGTCTGTTTTATTGAATTTTATGTCAATAATTTGAATTACAATTACTTAATCTTTTTATTATGAAATGTAGCGTGTTTTTTATCTTTGACTTTACTTTGTATTTTATTCGTTTCTTTAGTTGATAAGCCTATTTGTATTCACCAAATCGGGAAGAAGTAAAAGGTAGTACTCGAGCTTTATGAATTTCTGTATTAGGAGCTCATAAATTAGGATCGGTTGCTACAAAAAAATCAAAGTAGTAGCCTTAAGAGGTGAAGAAGCCTTGTTTTCTCGGGTAAAGTGAGCTTGGAATGAACCACTTTTCCATTGTTTTGGGCTTGTCTTGACAGCAATGGCGGCATTACTTTAAATGCAGCAGTGCAAAGAATAACAATAATAGAACTATTTGTATAAAGGCTAGATTTTAAGCCCGCACATGATTATCAAAGAATCACTTGTGTCAACACTACCATCAGACCAGGTTTGTGGGAAAAAGGTTTGACATATGGAAACATTGGTGCAAAAAATAGAAATGGACACCAGAAACTAATGCCTAATTAGTAGTAAAAATAAAAGTATAGGGATGTACGCCAAAAAAATTCCAAACCTATTAGTTGATCATGATTTTACTGAGCAAGAGTCAAGTAGTTGCATAAGATCGAACTCAATGAAATTATTTTTCGCCATACTATTTGTTGAGCAAATCTTAAGAATCAACTAAGTGCGTGTGAAGCATAGTTCGTAGTTGTTTGGCGAGCAGCTGAAGAATATGCACCAATGAAAGTTGTTCCAGATAGATGAAGAAATTATGTAGTAAATGATAAAAAGAAAATTTAGGATAAACAATAGAAACGTTTACGCGCAAAGTTATAGAAGAGTGTTTCCATCTCTGAAAGGTCTTCTAGAATAACATAATAGACTCCTATTTTTGACATTTAGTGGGTAAAGAAGCTCGAAATATTTATCTTTTTTCTCACTATTGACAACCAACTGACTGTTGGCATAGATTCCAAGAAGCATAGTAAGGCAGAGAAGCAAAAGCCACCAGAAAGTCTTACGAAACTAAGTTTTTAAATGGTACAGAGACAATGATTATCTTTTCTTAATGTACCAACCCCTTTCAATTGCAAATTCTTCGCTAGTTATATCTGTATCTGGTACAATCAGTGAAGTTCCTGAACCTGAAGAACAACAAAAAGGCAATGAGCTTTACATATGAAGTAATGCAGTATGCTCTATGCTTAGTCAATCCAAAGCAGAAATGGGTAGCTTCTCCCCAAAGCATTCCTAATCATCAGGTACTAATATTAAGACGAGTAGCCAAGTGTCCAGCATTTTATTTGCCTGATAAAGCAAAATTTACCACAAATAAACTATCATAATTAGGACATCAAGTTAGTGGCTCACTAATGCATGTAGCAAACCCGTATGCTATCATTTTTTTCCCCTTACACCGAGAGCCTTATCGTGCTACTAAAGTAGCTCATCATTATATTCCAAATTTTCAAATAATCAAGCATACATATCAAAGAGAGCCTAGGCGTATTAATTAGAGAAAAATATTCAAATCTAAGACATGGAGGTAATTTCTCAAGGCTAATCAACTTTTTTGAACCATAGACATATAAAGAGATGGTATTTTAGTTTTTTATTATAAAACAGTCAAATATTTGAAACATAAAGTCAGAAAAAGAGTACATTACAATATCACAAGTATATAAAGTCAGTAAAAGAAGTACAAATTTTGGTGCAGATATCTAGTGGAGGATTTATGACAAATTTTTGTCCCAATTTGATGCAATGTTGTTGCGATCGTATACTAAACTACATTTGATTAGTCTTCCATGTGATTCACTTTGTTGACAATAAAGGAACCTCTGTAACACAATTAATTTTAAAGTGATTGATAATGTATTCTCATATAGATCACATTTAGGGAACAACAACAAAGAATGTCTACCAGTTCAATAAACCAAAATTTTATGTGTTCAAACCTAAGGCATAAAAAGGCCTCCTTTCCACTTTAATTTTCACTTTGCAATTAAATAGGTTCAAAACAAACCAGGTTTGGTGGAGACAATATACAACACACCAATGCAAACATGATCATATCCCCAAAAATAGTAAGTCATGAAAACTTTTACCAGGGTAGAAAGGTTTGCTGCACCCTTTGTCCAACTAACATAAGATAAATTGACATGAAACCAATTGATCAGCAAATATTCCATATTCCATGTACATTTAAAATTGGTTTGAAACACAAAAGAAGAACAAACATTCGGCCAATTCAATAGGATTCAAAAAAAGAAATTTTACAAAGGAACTATCTTGCAAAGGTCCTTATAACATGCCTCAGGTTCCACAATTCTGCTATTTCTGCTGACAATATCTCTCTATTTCTCACTCTCCTTATAATTCTTCATATTCTGAAAGAGTTCAATTCGATGACTAACCGACAACAACCTAAAAAAAACACAATTACATGAAATTCTGCTAGATTAAATAGAATTCAGCTACTTAAACATTCTCGTAAAATCCTACATTTCCATCCAAAATCATAACCATTTGTGAATATTGAGATCAAAACTTCAAATTCGTTTTAATACAAAAGATATAAAAGGGAAAAATAAAATCAGTATTACCTATGGTAGGAGAGAGATCTTCGAAGGTATCTGGAGTAAAGCTGAGAAAAGGACTACTTTTTTCTACTCCAGAATCCCCAATCAACAATAAATTGAACAAATAATCAAATTCTTACGAGGAGGACGACGAAGACGATACCATCTCCACGAAGTTTGATTGGAACATACATGAAAAAACAACAGATTAGGCAACCTGAAAAATAAGAAAAGATTAGGACCAAGTGAAATTCAGTGAGCATAGACAAGATTAGATATCATTCAAGATTTCATGATGCAGTAACAATTTCCCTATTGAATGGCAAAAGCAGAATCCAAACAAATCATAATAAAAAGAGAACTACACCAAAAC